ATATATATATATATATATATATATATATATATATATATATATATATATATATATATATATATATATATATATATATATATATATAAATATATATAAATATGTATAAATATGTATATATGTGTATATATATATATATATATATATATATATATATATATATATATATATATATATATATATATATATATATAAATAAAATTATGTATATATATATATATATATATATATAAATAAACACTTTTATTTGGGTGTGATTAATTATTTCACAGTCCTAATTTATTTATATTTACATACATACTTTTATAATATGAATATTATTGTTATAATAAAATATGGAATACTGACAGAAAAGGCTTATTGTGTGGCAACCTCTTGGTGTAGAAGCATAATCCAGGTTTCAAATTAAAGGTAACACTTTGAAGTTTCATGTAGACTATTCGGATTATATATCAGGGGTAATTACACAAAAGTTCCTATTTTTAAACCATTATAAAAGTGACATTTATTTGCTATTAAAGGGGACTATATATATATATATATATATATATATATATATATATATATATATATATATATATATATATATGAATATATATATATGTATACAGTAAAAATACTGTCCACAGATATATATTTATTATATGTTCTTTAAATGTATGATATTTATGTTTGTAAAAACCCTGTTCAGTACAGTATTTTATGTGTTTATTTTTAATATATTTTTATTACTTGATCCTGTTAATTTTATATATATATATATATATATATATATATATATATATATATATATATATATATATATATATATATATATATACACTATATTGCCAAAAGTATTTGCTCACCCATCCAAATTATTGATTAGGAAAACTTTGCCGCCTGGGCAGGAGGTCCCAGGAAGCCGCCCGCCTGTTTGGTGGCAGCTCTGGAGGGAGCGAGTCCGAGCATCTTCTGAATGTTCTGGAAGGAGGACAGAAAGCGTGACATTAAATCAGAACGCACCGAGAGCAGAGCGATGAGTAAAGCCTGACCAAATGCATTTATTACCGGTAATTAAAACAGCGAGATGCAGGAAGCAGAAACAATAAACCCGCTGCTTTTTATATTCAATGATAATGTTCGTTTTATCTGTGAATTCTTTAAAAGAAAAAAGAAAATAAAGTGGATTAGGGCCACTGGAAAAAAAAAAAGTTAACTGATTTTTTACTTTTATTTCAGTTTAATATGGGAAAAAAGTCAGAATTCTGACATTATTCTCAGAATTCTGACTTTTTCCCCCCATACTAAACTGAAATAAAATTTAAAAATCAGTTAACTTTTTTTTTTTCCACTGGCCCTAATCCTTTTCCGTAATCTTGAAAGGGTCATTGCTACAACTTTATCATCATGATTATTAATATAAACATATAGATCCACCGAAAAGTGGTTCAGAAAATTTCATTAAAACAATAAATTTTCAAAATTCACACGAAAGGTCTACTGTGACACAGAAAAAAGTTTAAATTTTATTGAAAAAAAAAATATTTTGTGTAAATCATTTTTTAAATAATTTGTTATCAAATACAAATAAAATGTTGGTTACAATGCTCCCGCACTGGGAAAAATATAAAAAAAATGATTTGTTGTTATGCTGAGAAGGCTGGTACAGAAACATAAGCGTTTGGTTCCTGGAACTAATTTAGAATTTGACATTTATATCTGTAGATTGTAGCTATGAATTTCCTATCAAAACAATTATTAGAAAAGAAAATAACTTTTATAATTGTGCAGAATCAAAATATCACCTTTAATGAAAAAAGGATCCAAAATAAATAACTATTCACTTCTGGTTACTATGCCTACATTGAAATGAAAGGAATCTCTTCACCACCAACTGCTTTTCTTCTGGATAGGTAAGTTAAATGTTTGCTAATGCTAAGCAATTATTAGCATTAGCCGCTCTCCTCTGGTAGCACTCTTTACCGTCACCCTATTTGTGCATTTACAACCAGAAATTACTCCAGGTTGGCAATAAATCCTGTAATTATGGTCCTGAATGTCCTTTAATCTCTAGAGCATTTCTAAATAGCAAAACTTGTCATTATCTCCTTTCTATCTCTTCTTTCTTTCATCCTCTTTTTTTCTTTTTTCCTTTTCTTCTTCTGTTTTTCTGCTCTATTTACATTGCAGTGTCTATATAAACTGTAAAGCTCCCTGCATAATTATAATAAAGCAATTTATATGCATGAAACAAGTGGAACATTATGGCAATAGCCGTACTGCTACACTTGTGAAAGTAAAATCTGTTTGGGCTCTTTTTGGCATCAAGACAATTATTCTTATTGCCACATTGCCAGACAGGACACTGTTAAATAAATAAAAATAAATAGCAAAACTACATCCTATAAAAAATGGATGCATTTATGCATTCTGTGCACTGTGGATCAGTTTGATCTAAGGCTGAGCTATTAATCGATATTATAGCTTTATCAGATTATTGTTTATGAAAATTAAATTTTGGGAAAATCTAGACTTTTAAACTGATCCACTCTGTGCGAATCAACAGCTCAGAGACATTAGTCCCAGGAACCGGATGGTAAACGGTACAAGGTATGAACGAGAGCCTGTGAGAGCGCCATCTACTGGCAGGACAGAGTTACACATGTAGTTATTGTCTTTAAAGTCTCTAACAATTTTAGGTTTTTCGTAATAAAAAAATATATACATAAGTTTCAAGTCTAGGCATTCATAATCTTTGTAAAAATGTCTGCAACGTTAAACTTTGGCCGATAGGTTAAACCAGGGGAGCCTTCACCATCAACCTACAGCCAACAACACTTACGGCACTTTACTGAAACATATTGATGTGGTTTAAAAGCTAAAACTGCTGTGTCATATAGCTTTACTGCGATGATAAACTCTCAGTCAGGGGTCAAAGGTTGAACAGACGGCAGATTGACCTGAAGATGGGATCAAAGGACGTAGAAACTGTGTTGAACTCAGAAAGCACCGCCATTCATCCATCAGAGCCCTCAGATGGCCTGCTGCTGATAACAGCAGTTTATCCACGGTCATCGTGACTAAGTGCTTCAACAGCAACAATAATCTGTTTATATTATTATACTATTACTATTATACTTATTATTATACTATTTCTGCATCATTCATCGACAACAGCTGTGCGTCAGTATTTTAAATATGAAGCATGTCGTGGACGTTGTGATGAAGATCGCTTGCTCTGTTTGGGCCGGGAGTTTTTCAGAGGCGTTTATTCCGTGCCCAGCTCCGGGAGGCAGGTGCAGACCACCCTGATCTGCTGCTGAGCCTTGGCAGATTCTTCGAACGATTTTTGGAACTTTTGCCGAAATTAAAGACTTTCTGAAACAGTCAACAACCCATTCTGCTGAATGTTACATCTTCACATCCACATAGTTTGGACTCAGTATTTTCCAATTTTTATCTGTTCTCCTGTTGAATTTTAATCCATCTGTCAGTTTCTCTGCCAATGCCCAGTGAAGTTTATCATTCTGAAATAGTGGACTTCCCTTCTCCTTCTTCCTGCTTTGAAGTCATCTTAGATCTTTGACAGATTTTATTTGTCATAAAGTTTACACAAGTGTAAAACAAAAAGAAATTTAGCTTGGAACAGCTCTCTGGTCAATTTCATTTTTTTTTTAAAGTGCAGCCTTGAAAAGTAGTAAAAAAAAAAAATGTATATATATGTATATACACTATATTGCCAAAAGTATTTGCTCACCCATCCAAATTATTGGAATCAGGTGTTCCAATCACTTCCATGGCCACAGGTGTATAAATTCAAGCACCTAGGCATGCAGACTGTTTTTACAAACATTTGTGAAAGAATGGGTCGCTCTCAGGAGCTCAGTGAATTCCAGCGTGGAACTGTGATAGGATGCCACCTGTGCAACAAATCCAGTCGTGAAATTTCCTCGCTCCTAAATATTCCACAGTCAACTGTCATCTGTATTATAAGAAAATGGAAGTGTTTGGGAACGACAGCAACTCAGCCACGAAGTGGTAGGCCACGTAAACTGACGGAGCGGGGTCAGCGGATGCTGACGCGCATAGTGCGAAGAGGTCGCCAACTTTCTGCAGAGTCAATCACTACAGACCTCCAAACTTCATGTGGCCTTCAGATTAGCTCAAGAACAGTGCGCAGAGAGCTTCATGGAATGGGTTTCCATGGTCGAGCAGCTGCATCCAAGCCATACATCACCAAGTGCAATGCAAAGCGTCGGATGCGGTGGTGTAAAGCACGCCGCCACTGGACTCTAGAGCAGTGGAGACGCGTTCTCTGGAGTGACGAATCGCGCTTCTCCATCTGGCAATCTGATGGACGGGTCTGGGTTTGGCGGTTGCCAGGAGAACGGTACTTGTCTGACTGCATTGTGCCAAGTGTAAAGTTTGGTGGAGGGGGGATTATGGTGTGGGGTTGTTTTTCAGGAGCTGGGCTTGGCCCCTTAGTTCCAGTGAAAGGAACTCTGAATGCTTCAGCATACCAAGACATTTTGGACAATTCCATGCTCCCAACTTTGTGGGAACAGTTTGGAGCTGGCCCCTTCCTCTTCCAACATGACTGTGCACCAGTGCACAAAGCAAGGTCCATAAAGACATGGATGACAGAGTCTGGTGTGGATGAACTTGACTGGCCTGCACAGAGTCCTGACCTCAACCCGATAGAACACCTTTGGGATGAATTAGAGCGGAGACTGAGAGCCAGGCCTTCTCGTCCAACATCAGTGTGCGACCTCACAAATGCGCTTCTGGAAGAATGGTCAAAAATTCCCATAAACACACTCCTAAACCTTGTGGACAGCCTTCCCAGAAGAGTTGAAGCTGTTCTAGCTGCAAAGGGTGGACCGACGTCATATTGAACCCTATGGATTAGGAACGGGATGTCACTTAAGCTCATATGTGAGTCAAGGCAGGTGAGCAAATACTTTTGGCAATATAGTGTATATATATATATCTTTTTTTTTTTTTCCATGAACTGATGGTTTATTAACGTTCTCCTGTAATGTTTCCACTAGATGGCAGCAGATCCCCACCTGAGCAACATCTTTTTATGCTTTGCTTCATGTTTTACTCCAGCTGCTGCTAGTAGGGCTCCTACACCTTCAGGAAACCTCCCTTCTGCTCCCCCTCCACCTCCCCCATCTAGGCCAGCACTGCAGGGAACATTTTCCTCCATAGAGCTGATACAAGAGAGGAGAGGAAGAAGAAAGATGAGCAGATGGTTGAGGTTTCAAGGCCTGCAGAAATCCCCAGCATGCTGGACATCCTAAAGGAGAAAGACAAGGTGAAGCTGCAGTCTGTGAAAAGGTTTGTCTCGCACTTTCAATAGGAGTTTATACATAAATATGTATAAACTTTAATTGGGACTCTATTAAAATGTTCTCCTTTTGCATTTAAAGCCATTTAGAGGAAGCTGTAGTCAAAATGAAAACCACATTGGAAGAAATCAAAATCTAGATAAGTAATTTTTTCTTAAAATAATTGTATTTGTTTTTTGACTGAGGAGGTTAAAGATACATTTTGCCAATGGAACAAGACAATTTACTTTTAAAAAAGGAAAACACAATTGCATTGTCTTATTTCAAGTGTATTTTATTTAAATATCTTATTTTAAGAGTAAAACAACTCATTACATTTGCAAACTATCTCGTTTACCTGCTCAAATTAAGGGTAACTACACTTGATTTAAGACATTTTTTTACTTATTTCTAGATCGTTTTTCTGGTGCAAAGAGCAGTCAGACCCAGCAGGTCTCATCGCTGAAGCTCTTAAGCTTAAGTTCGCCCATCGGATTCCAAAAAACAGGATGAGAGGAAGGAAGCGACAAAGAAGATTGGAAGGTGGCCTTCCCAGAAGCCGAACCTCCAACTGAAACCCCTCTGGTGAGACGCAGGTCTTCAGCCTTCTGGTTCTCTGCTGGAAGGTGAATATTTAGTACATTTGTCAAAGAGTAGATTCTTGATCTGCTTTGTTTTTTAGATTCCAGAACAGTTTCTTCCCCACCGCCATTAGACTGCTAAATGTTATGTAAAATAGGTTATAAAAAAACCCTGAAATGTTTGAGCTGTAACTATACAGTCAAATGTTTACATCACTTTTTTTAATCACAGTGTTTTTATCACTGCTGCTCACCTTTATCAAGGCTGCACTTTAAAACAATGAAATAGTCTAGAGAGCTGTACTTAATGAAATTTATTTTTGTTTACACTTGTGTGTAAAAAAATGACAAAATAAAATGTTTTCTTCAGTTTGAGCAGCAGATGCTGAAACCAACCTGGAAGAAAAGGTTCCTTTGACCAGGAGAAGCTGAGCTGCTGATCCAGGATCTCTGTGGACTCTTAGAAGCGACTCCTTTATGCTGATCCTCTCTGACCTAACCTGCCTGGACCAAATATTCATCATCCCATAGAATCCATGATGCTTATTTAAGTCTTTTCTTCAAGGGAAGAAAAGGTGGTTATTAAACTGTGATTTTTATCTGCAGAGTTCTCTAAAAAATGTATTTCATCTTAATAAAAGTATCTCCTTACTCCCTTTTTTGTGCTGAAGCACGTCTTTCTGCAAATGACCAAGAAAAATTAGAAAAAATGATATTGAACAGTTTCTAATTGAAAACGATCCTTGTGTGTAATTTTACATGTTCTATTTTCACATTTTTGTAACGCTAAAGCCACAAACTTTCTTCCATTTAAATGAGATTATTTGCAAAGGATCCAGTCGTACTGCAGGTTTGTAAAATGGTAGGAAATGTTAAATGGCTTTTAAAAATCTTCACAAACCAATATCAGAAGTGCCTGTAATTTATATTTGCCCCCTTTATTGTAGGACCAGGAAAACATTTAAACATTTAACACTTTTCTCTATAATTAGGCTTATTTTGAGTTGTTTTGAAGAATAAGGATTGACTAATTTGGAATGTGTGGGGAAATTAAAAGCTAGAAAAAGCACTTCTTTTCTAAGGTTTAGATTAATTGCATTAAAAATTCAATTTTGTTTTACATATTTAGGGTAAAACTAAAAGCATTCAGAAACATAATCTGACCCTGCAGCAGGACATTCTAGCTCACCATCCATAGCATCTCTGTGCCGTCACGATGCAATGATTGTACAAATAAATATCCACATATTTTAAAGACTGAAATGAGGGTAAAGATTTAAATATAAATGTTCCCAATTATAATTAAACGCAGTTCCCAATAATATGGGGTTTTAATGTCAAATTTCAGACTTTAATAGAGGCTTATTTCTGGATGACTGATTTCTATCCTGTTGACAGATTATTCCACTTGAGCTGTAGATCTCTGCAGCTCCTCCAGAGTGAAGCTAAGAGGCACTGTGAATTCTTTGTGGGTTTGCAGCAGCAATTTCAGTCATCCCTACAGTAGCATAAGCTGGCTCAGGAGGAGGGATTTGTCTGTTCAAGCTGCAGCTCCGTACGTCTCTGTGTCATTGGGCAAGACGCTGCACTTGCCTGATGTTAGAGGTCAGATACTGCTATATTGAAGTTTACCACCAACATGCATCAATGTCTGCTCTGTTCCTTGGTTTTCCTGTCGGGTTATTTCTAGAATGTTCTCCAACAAACCTAAAAGGCCTTCAGGCAACAGGTATCTAGACATTAGGTTATCTCTGAAAGCAGCCGGTTGCACTGGGCATATTTCTCCATAAAGAGTTCATGTTATGATGATCCATCGCATGAAATCCAAACTAAATATTAGAAGGGCAAATAAATACCTCAGGATGTTGTCCAAACTGTTCCTCACCTGTCCAGGTATCTTGGCTCCGCCCACTCACTGCAGTCTGCATGTCGTTCTGGTTCTTTCTGATGAGACCCGTTGGACCCTCTTCCAGATATCTCTGCTGATTCAATTTGGTTTTTTATTAATTTCAGTATTAAAGTACTTTGAACCACACAGACTGTACTATTTATTAATAACTTAAAACTGAATAATTCATTTTTTTTTATTATAATCATAAACTGATTTCAGAAGAACACAGCAAAGGGGACATGGCAGTTTTTTTAATTTAAAAAAAAATTGAATTATTTTAAAATCTAATCATTTTATGTAAATATGTTTTATGGCAGACGTGGTCAAACATGCAATGTACTTGATTATTTGTATTTAGATAAAGAGCCAAACCTTTATCTCCAAATGTAGCCAAAAAACACACGAGGCTCAGTGAATCTCCCTAATAAATATATCTATCTAGTTATCTATATATATATATAGAGAAGGACTTTCTTTTTAAATAAAATAATTTTATTCAGTCTCGTCTTCTATCCTTTTCTCTTCCCTTCCCTTCATTCCATCTAACCTCTATTCAGTTTCCACCTTTCTGCTTTTCCCACCTTCTCTTTTCTTCTATCATCTTCCTTTCCTTCCTAACCTCTTCTCTTTTGTCCTATCCCTGTTCCTTCTATCTATCTCGGTCGGATGAATGTAACCTGGCCGTTTAGACACAGGTCGCATTTAAAAAGATCAGATACATATCGGATTCAGGACATAGCCAAGTGGCCTGGGTTGCATTTTGAAAAAGAAATCTGATCTTTATTGTTCAGACTGTCATGAAAAGATCAGATACAGATCGCATATGGGCAACACAACAACAAATGAATTAAAAATCATACTTGGGTCCCTTCAGGCTGCATTGTGAACACAGCCATAGTTAGATCCTTCATTCCTCTAGTTGCTTGGTTGTAGCGGCTCTGGACACACACAGTTATAGCAACTGAAACACTTGTTTTATCAGGTGCCGAACCAACTGGGCCAGAATACGTACCTACATTATTTCCTGATCTAAGTTCTCCAACAAGCAAAGGAGGATTTATCCAATGGCCAGATTTGAACTCAGGCTCTAAAAAGCAAAAACCATTAATGCTGATGGAGGAGCAACAGGAAAGACTGGAGAAGACAGAAGGTGAATGCAATTACTATTTATTTTAGAGCTTTAGTTCGTATGAAAACATCAGAGAAAACATGGAAGAAGATTGTAATTAATATGAAACCATAAAAAGAAGCAAATTGTTTCAATCCATGAGGTTTTTATTGCTGCTAATTCATCAGTTTAGAAGTGATTACAATAATTAAAAACATCCACAGCAGAATATAAAACATAAAATCAGTTGTATAAAATAGAAAATCTACAGAATCAAGAACAAAACTATTAGAATTAGTTCAAAGGAAAATTATACTTTCAAAAATCTCTAAAAAGCAGAAACTTTAAACTTCTAGAGGAGAGTCAGATTTCTTTAATACATTTTTAAAACAAAGGCTTTTTACAGAGTTAAAGCAGGTTCAACCTGATCAGTAAAATAACAGCAACATCATCAATCTTGTTTATCTTTTTAAACAAACATGTTTCATCATTTTAGGACTTAATTTTCCCTGAACTACAGACTCCAGCCTCTAAACTGAGTTCTTTGATGTCCCGTAGTTTAACCCTATAATTCAGAGCCTTTAAAGGTGACTGGAGCTACTTTACAACATTAATTAGCTTGTAGCTGACTAACTCTGAGACTGACACACACTTCTATATGTCCCAAATCTACATCTGAGACTCCTCTATAGATGATCTACTTCATTCTAATATCTATTGACCATAGCTCTGACACTGGGCCAAATAAAGTTGGAGTTTTGGTGGGCCTGGTTTCAACAACACACGTAGCAGGGCTGATTGATGCATTGCTAATGAAAGCCAACAAGACACTGAATTAGCAAAACTCTGATCATTTGCAGCTGAGCTCTTAAAAAAATCCCCCAGAATAATCAGCAAAACTGAGCAAAGCTCATTAAATCTGTCCTACCTTTGCTTTTATTTTCATCTGAGGATATTTTCATCTGAATGTATGTTTCTGGAATATTTCCAACCAATAGATTATCATTCAGCTAAAAGAACCTTTTAGCTGAATGATGAATACAAACACCTTTTTTTTTTTTGTCAGGGCAACTCTCTCACTAATTTACTCAGGCCCAAAATAATTAACTTTCAAATGTTCACATCCACATATTCACCCAGGACCTGAATATTTACTAGTTTACAATAGAATACCTTATCGGTTCTAGTTTCTATGTAAAAAGAGCTGTTAATTAATGGCTTTCTCAAAACTTTGCTTGAAAAAGACCATTAACCTGTGAGTTTCTGATATAGTGAGGTGAAGGAGTTTCTAGATGGACATTTTATCACCAGTCAAACATGGAACTAGTGTTCATACCTGTGGCGTCTAACTGTGGAGGAGAATAAATGAGCAGTACGCTGCAGAGAAAGCTGCTAAAGTTGATTGAGGCGACGTGTTTAGCACTGACGAGGGACCACTAGACATCTGTCTATAATGAGAACTACCTCAGCATTAGTGTACACCTCATTGATGCCAGCTGGTGTCGTGGATGATCTCTTCCCAATGACTTAAAAATTAAAGCTAAGTTTTATAAAAATTCAAAGTTCTCAAAAGGCAGAAAAGTCTTCAACCAGAAATCTCAAAAAACAGGCAGAAGTTGCGGTCTTCCAGGTCCAGAGTCTTTTATTGAAAAACACAGAACATACACACTGAGGTGATCTCCGGAGAACATCTGACTAGACAGTGAAACAGCTTCTCTTTTATACATTTCGGGCTGCTGGGGGCTCCTCCCCCAAGCCCCTCCTTCCTTTTCCCATTTTTGGATGCGTTTTCTTCGGTTAAGTCTAATTATTTTTATTCTACCGGAGGAAAGCTCTTTTCAAAACATATTTTTTATATATTTAATCAAACACCCTTTATTACAAGTCATGATTATATTTTTTATAAGTCATAATAACATATGTTGCTATTAAAATAAAAACACATTATATTTCAGTCATTATTATTTCAGAGCAAAGTTTTCATTCAGTGATTTATGATTATAACATTTCACATTAAACTTGGTTGACATAATCTGGGCACTTAAAACTCCAGTGATTCTACTTTTCTAAGTATAGGTCTCATGCGCAGGTCTTATTTGGGCTCAACTGTCTTCTTGTAGGACAAATGCACTTTCTTAACTTAGCCTAATTAGCTGAAGCCACATTTAGAATAACTGTCTCACTCTGATCTAAAGTTGCACTTAGAGCAGCATACTGGACCCTCTGTCTCCTCTTTGCAGCATACCAAACCTTTTTTGGACCTTTAAAGCAAGACCTTCATTCAGTGTGTAAGACATGAATATAATTTAATCACTAATACACACTAATTCACTACATAAGACATGCATATATTTTAATCACTAATACACACTAATTCACTACACTGGGAACTGCACTCCTTCACTTTAGGTAGGCCATGTTTAGTCATTTTTAGATTAATTCCAAGACTACAGAAATGAATATATGCCCACCTCAAATATAAATCATTCCACATCATGAATTAATAAATGTCATCTGAATAACCGAATAACCGCCTTGTTTAAAACCCTTGTCATAAATAATTCAGGAGAACAACTTCTCACCTGTGTGAATTTTCATGTGTTTAGTCAAATTACTTTTGCAAGTGAATTTCTTGTTACAAGTTGTACAGGAAATAGGCCTCTCACCTGTGTGAATTCTCATGTGTAGAGTCAAAGAACCTCTTTGAGTAAAACCTTTGCAACAAATCGTGCAGGAAAAAGGCCTCTCACCAGTGTGAATTCTGATGTGTGAATCAAGAGTAGATTTCTCAGAGAAGCTTTTTCCACAGGACAGACATTCAAAAAGCTTCTCACCAGTGTGAATTTTCTTATGTCTATGCAAACTACTTTTTTCAGTAAAACCTTTGCAACAAATTGTGCAGGAAAAAGGCTTCTCACCTGTATGAAATTTCATGTGTTTAATCAAATTACCTTTTACAGTAAAATTCTTGTTACAAATTGTACAGGAAAAAGGCCTCTCGCCCGTGTGAATTCTGATGTGATAATTAAGACGGGTCTTAAAGGTGAAGCTTTGCCCACATAATAGACATTCAAAAGGCTTCTCATCGGTGTGAATTCTCATGTGTTTAGTCAAATAAATTTTTTTAATAAAACTTTTGCTACAAATCGTGCAGGAAAAAGGCTTCTCACCTGTGTGATTTCTCATGTGTAGTGTCAAATAACTTTTAGTAATAAAACTTTTGCTACAAATCGTGCAGGAAAAAGGCTTCTCACCAGTGTGAATTCTCATGTGTGCAGTCAAACCACTCTTGTAAGTGAATTTCTTGCTACAAATCGTGCAGGAAAAAGGCTTCTCACCTGTGTGAATTTTCATGTGATGATTAAGTCTAAATTTCTGTGTGAAAATTTTTCCACAGGACAAACATTCATAAATCTTCTGACCAGCTTGATTTCTTATGTCAGCCATTGACTGTTCTTTTTTTAAAAAGTTTTCTCCCCGTGTCAGACATGGGGAAGGTTTCTCTTCAATATCCTGCTTCAGAACAAGCTGCTCTTCTTGCTCACTTATGTTGAGCTCCATGGTTTCCTCTTTTGTCCAGGGATCTTCTGGCTTTTGCTGCTCTTCTTTTATCTGCAGAGCTTCTGGTTCCTTTTGATCCAAACTGGAATTGCTCTCTTGTCCACAGAGCCGCTGGTCAGAGAAATCCTCCTCTTTTCCAATATAATCCTGCAGGCGGTCTGAAAGACAAACACAGCAGAAAGACTTTTTATTACAGGCTAAAGAAAGGACACTTCACTTTATTCTTTTGTTGACCTAACTACATAAAAGCATACGTCAGAGAAAATCTCTTTTCCAACACAATTCTAAAGGTGGTCTGAAAAGAGAAACACAGCAGAAAGACTTTCTATTGGTGGTTAAATAAAGGACACCTCACATAAGAGCACCACACTCTGCCCTTGATTTTGAGGAGCGAGTGGATCCTGCCAAGAAACCTGAAAATATGAAGTGACCTAAAGTTGTTTCCCCACAAAGAATTATTAAAGAAAGTAAAGAATTCACATCCAACACCACAGTGACTGTCTGGCAAATGAGGAAGTAATGAGACACCCTAGCCTCAGCTGCGCTTCCTGTACACCTCTGCCTGAGCTGATCTCCAGTAGAGCCAGAGGGCTGTTTTTGCTCTTGTCTGGGTTCCTCATCACAGAAGAGCAAAGTAACTCAGCCGTATCACTCAAGAGGAGGATACTTGCTGTCACTGCTGCAGAAAAAAACATTTGACCAAACCAATTGAAGAAACTCCAACAGACAGAATAAAGGAGGGGTCAGATGGTGAAACCATATTAATATTGGTTTTTAAGTTGATATTTTAGCGTCATTGAGACCCTTATCTATGGTCGTGGCTTCTTCATGAACTGCATTGTGCCCACTTCATGCAATTCTGTTCTCCCCATCATCCGTCTCTCCAAAAACAAAGTTTAATTTATTGATTTTTTGACTTTTTAACACGTCTCTTCGTTGACTGGAGCTGTAAACGCCGCAAGGTGACTCCCATGTAGAACTTCAGCACTAAGCCACAATCTGCCGACTTGAGCAAGAAACGAAGGTGGTACATGCTTTCCTGAGACCCGCTAGCCTGACGTAGTCCGACTCAATTCTAGTCAGAATATGAGTCTGATGCTGCTCCATAGAGCTGTGATTATGGGGGGTGTTTCGAACGAACCAGGAAAAAAAAATGCCTCTGCACTCAATTGGATAGACCTACAACCAATCGGTCTCCGCCAGGTGACGTCAATTGTTTACCTCGGGCGCAGTGCATCGTGGGAAAACCAACATATTAGGTGGAAAGTCGAGATAAGCCACACGCGGCTGTTCTTTCGGCACAATTATTTACCAGAAATGACACGATCGTGTTGTGTGAGAGGCTGCATGTCCTGGTGTCGTGCCAAGGTAGTTATCCCTGCGAAAATTTTTATCCCCTCGTCGGGCGCGTGCACGGAGTAGGAAGATTTTACGGTAATTCTACATTCTGCTTACTTTTTTCCATATAGTCAGAGAAAAAAACTCAATCCTTTAGTCCTTCGTTTAGCTATACTGCGGTTGTTTACACTACGCCTTTTCCACCAAAAATGGCGTCTTAGCAACAAATGTCACGTGACTGGCGGAGACCGATAAGAGCAACGGAGTGCGTGACGTATGTTAAGCGACGCATAGTCTTTGTCAACAAAAATCAAAGCGTGCAGTTGCACGCCTAGAATAAGAAGATGAGCCTTGATCGCGTTTCTCTGTTCCTCTTTTAAAATTAATTTGCTGTCGATATCTTCTAGAACAGACCTAATAGCAGAATCTACTCACCTAAACTCTCCGGCGGCAGCCATTATTGTTGTCACCCAAGCGCGCTTTGGTCACGTGGTTGATTACGTTACTGTTGGTCATCTGTCCATCATCGTATAAAGCCCGCCCTGACAATTTGATTGGATCGCCAGAGAGTGGGCGATAATACTCGCGCTGCTATGGAGCAGAGCCAGACCGAACTTCCCGACCTCAAACTTTGTGGGCGGGACTAAGTTCGGAATGGCACCCAGGCTAGAGACCCGCCCCCTTCTTCTTCTAATTGGCTAATATTGTTCGTTTCAGAGCACTCCTTTGCTACCATTGGCTGACAAACGCAACAGGGATTTCAATTGTCTTTTCTTATTTATTTTTTTATTTACTGTTTATTTTCAAATGATTTATTTACCCAAGGTAAGGTGACCAGATTTCTGCAATCTAATCTGGGGACATTTCCAGCTCATAGATAAAAAAATAAACAAATTTTATGAAAATTAAAATAGGGAATGGGGAAAGAGATGTTTTCATCCATTTTTACATATTTTTTAATATTTAAACTAAAATAAAGTGTGAAATCCAGGAATGTGCCTCTCCTATTTCCTCAGATAAATAATATTAATCAATCAATAGTGTTAATTAGAGACATTTAGTCTCTCCGTCTTCTTCCCTTGTTAGAAATATAACATTGTGTTCAGGAACAGGATAGTTTGCATCAATACAGAGTCTGTGGGAATTTCCCTCTTTTTCCAATTCCAAAAAATTTAAATAAACATTTTTTATATGTATAAAAATGGAAAACATATTTTTTTCTTAACAATGATCACTATAAAATGAAATGGCCTCCAGTTGTTTCTGCTGTATCCTGGACAGCTGCAGTGCATTGGGTCGCCTCCAGCAGCCTGGATTAAATCTGTGTCACTATTAAAAAAGTTACGTCAGATTTTTATATTCAGATTAAGTTACAACCATTAAAACACATCTATAAATCTAGATCATTGTCATGAGCAGCTTGAAGCAGCCACAGCCAAAAATACATGTTTTGTCATTACACGTATAGATGAATGAAAAATAAGCTTCAGGGCATTAAAATATTGTGTCCTTTAATAAAGTTATAGTGAAACCTAATAGGAGTATATTTTTTACAATCATAAACCTATTTTTTATTCATAGATGCAGCTGTGCTTTTTGTTTTAAATGAGCTCTTATTGTGAAAGGATGTACATTTGTCCCTGTTACAAAAATCCACAACAAAAACTAAATATTTTGGCAGAAACTGCACATGCTGGATGCTGATGGTTTTTTTTTACTATGTCATATTAAATGAAGCGTTCATTTCCACTTGTTTTGCTATGAATTTAATAATAATATCGCGCATGCTTTCCTCGATCTGGGAGGAAGTCGGAGCGAGACGGGAGGAACAGCGGAGGCTGCAGGCTTTTCTTTGAACAGGAGGTCTGGAGCGCAGCGGAGCGCTGACAGACGGTGTGGGATATCGGGGTAACACAGGGTAGCTGCGTCCAGCCGGCTGTGATAACCAACTTCCTCGTCTATTTTCAAACTGAAGCACTCTGCTCCTCATCTATACGTTAACAGCTGTTTCTGTGCGCAGCGCGCTCTTACTATAGTAACAGTTTATATGCAACATTTCCCCTTTATTCATAAAACGGTAAAATCAGGGACATTGGCAGGGACAGCTTTAGCAGGGGACAGGTGGTCCAAAACGGGGACTGTCCCTGGAAATCGGGGATGTCTGGTCACCCTAAGCCACGGGCAATCGCTACCAGCTGAAAATCTGGCTTAGGGCCAGAATACTTTAATCCCTGTACTTTTCTGCAGCTTTCACTATTATTTGGATTTTTTCAGTTTGTGGTCTGAGCGCTATAATTGATCACTTCTACCATGAAAAGTACAAAATCCTTCTTTTTTACAATGAATGAGTCTTCTGCCATTTTGGGACGCTCCTCTAGAGATTTTGCACGGCTCATTTTCACCACTGTTGATTTGGGTCTTTCTGACTGGGATGGGATTCTTTTTGCAGCATCAGTAAAGTTATTCCGAGCTCTAATTTCACTTTTCTTCTCTCTTCAGATCTTTTGCTCTCTTCACATCCGTGATACGCAGCAGGATGTTCTCCACCACAGTTACAGCATTTCATTTTTACTCCTTTCCCTCATTTTCCATATTTGTCGAGTAATATTCCATATTACTTTGTTATCATTTTGTTTTCCTGTAGAATTTCTAGATTGTTCATCTTAATTGTTCTGTGTTGGACTCCCCCTTTTTTTGTTTTTGATTCAACTTTATTCCAATCTTCTTTGTTTTCAGCATTTCCTTCTTCCATCCCACAAGAATCGCTTCCTGTTTCCTCGCTACTCAGGACCCAGGACATTTCTCCACAAGGTGCTTAGAAACACTCATCCTTGTGTCGCCCAACAACGCCCCAACAACCTGCACACACATTTATTACAGAAGGCCAAAATAAAAGGGAGGTGCTCTCCAGAAAGCCAGAGCTGCATCCCATTCTGCTCTGATCCAGCTCTTTATCCAGCATTCTGTCTTCGCTGACCTCAGTACAGAGCTAGTTGTAAACCTTCTCTAACTCCTTAGACACAATAAGTAGAGAAAGATTTAAAAGGATGGTAAAAGAACACAATGCTCCTCTTCTGAAGACACAATATGGGTAATGCAGAACATCTTAGAAAAACAGGGTGAAGTTAACATAGATGACATTTTCCATCACATTATTCTCCCAAAGAAATATTGATTTCCATCACAAAACACAGTTTCAATCTTTTCCCTCCCCGGTTTATTTCTGCTTCACTTTAAAGGCTAGAGTGAAAACTAATCCACACTACATTCCTGAGACAAACTTTTTGTTATTCTCATGACAAAGATTCATGCAGTTCAAGCTCCTCCTATTTAATGACTCGGTCTGAGGTGAAGCAACTGTGCATCACTGTGATAAACCTGAAGTCTAAAGCATTTAGATATCATAGAGGATGACAATAGAAATATGATAAAGCCAATTGTTCCTTTTGAACTATTTGAAATGCAGAGACCTCGATGACGACATGTCAACCAGAGGCAGAAGGCTGAAGAAAACTAAAATGTCTGCTCCTGTTTTAGCTGTTATACCTCTATTACTTTAGAAAAATGAGCAAAAGGACACGATTTTTGCCTTTGTGGATGGAGAAGATGTTTGTGTTTTCCTCTCAACCCGATTTGGTAAGAAATTGATTTATCAGTTAACACTGAAACAAATGAAGAATGTGATTGGTCAGCTGCTACTGCTGCTGTGATTGGCTAAAAGCTGGACATGAGAGATGGATACCCAATCAGCTGGAAGAACTGTACTGAATGATCCTCCCTTTTGCTAACAGCCTCTACAGAACGATACCCAGATTCATACGGTGTAGGAACTGAATTTAACTACATGTCAATCTGGTTTATGCCAGGTTAAATATGTGGCCCAGATGCAAAAAATAAAAATAGGGCTCTTTATTGAATTTCACAAAGCAGAAAAAGCTTTCACAAAACCAAAAGGGAGTTTTAAAAATTCTGCTTTTATCTTGAAATAATATAAACCAGTTTTTAAGCGTCTGAATGGTTTAGATTTTAATGAAGAGCAGATAAATGACACTTAAGGCTGTAATAAAACAGGTGGAATAGCCCTTTAGCTTTTCACTGAACCGGTGTTACGAGAAGAAGAGCATGCCTGCTGAGAATGACCTCACCTGCTGCTCTCTAAGCTCTCACACATTTATGATCAAGTGTCATGAAATGGCCGCTGTTTTAGTGAAGGAGGCCGTGGAGACATTTTATTTTAATGGAGAGAAAAAAAAGAATCAATATGAAAGATAGAGAAAATGAAGCTGACAAAGGATAATGCAGAAGTGCTTTTAAGAGGTTTGTAGGAGGCTTTGATGTACCTATCAAGTCTAGATTTCTTTGTTAACATTTTTCCACAGACATTCATAAATCTTCTTACCTGTGTGAGTTCTCATGTGATCCATTAAATGTTCTTTTTTAAGAAAATTTTCTCCACATGTCAAACATGGGAAAGGTTTGTCTTCAATCTCCTGCTTCAGAACAAGCTGCTCTTCATGCTCACTTATGGGGAGCTCCATGGTTTCCTCTTTAGTCCAGGGATCTTCTGGTTCTTTCTGCTCTTCTTTTATCTGCAGAGCTTCTGGTTCCTCTTGATCCAAACTGGAATTCCTCTCCTGTCCACAGAGCTGCTGGTCAGAGAAATCCTCCTCTTTTCCAATATAATCCTGCAGGCGGTCTGAAAGACAAACACAGCAGAAAGACTTTCTATTGGTGGTTAAATAAAGGACACTTCACATAAAAGCACCAAACTCTGTCCTTGATTTTGAGGAGCGAGTGGATCCTGCCAAGAAACCTGAAGATATGAAGTTCATTCTGACCTAAATTTGTTTCCCCACAAAGAATTGTTAAAGAAAGTAAAGAATTCCCATCCAACACCACAGTGACTGTCTGGCAAATGAGGAAGTAATGAGACACCCTAGCCTCAGCAGCGCTTCCTGTACACCTCTGCCTGGAAGAGACAGACCCCAGCTCAATGTGTCAGAGGCTGAGCTGATTTTAAGTGATTCATCAAATTCTCTGTTCTATCGTATCAAAAAGAAGCATTATGGTTAGAAAGAGAAAAACAGGCCTAAATGATAAAGCCGTCTGGAGCAGCTTCCTCATTTTTTGCTAAAATGTAGCAATCAGCAGGGCTGTTTTTGCTCTTGTCTGGGTTCCTCATCACAGAAGAGCAAAGTAACTCAGCCGTATCACTCAAGAGGAGGATACTTGCTGTCACTGCTGCAGAAAAAAACATTTGACCAAACCAATTGAAGAAACTCCAACAGACAGCATAAAGGAGGGGTCAGATGGTTGAACCATATTTATATTGATTTTTTACTTATATATTTAGCTTGAGTCTTGCTGCTTTCTTTGCTCTGTCAGAGTTTGCTAATAAAAGATCATTACACATTAGCATATGTGTGGAAAGAACATTTCCTGAGTGAATTTCCTGATGGTGTCCTGTAGAGAGGAAAAGCAATGCGTGTGGGTTCTAGAAAATAAAATAGGAGCTTATTAGGGTTTGTCTGAAGCTAAAACCTATTAATCACCCATGGAGCTAATATGGCCACAAAAACACTGATGACCAGTATTCCAAGAGCCATTAGGATCATTTTCATGGCCTCAGATAATGGACTTATATCTGTACTTGTCCTGTTAGATCTCAGTGCTGCATTTGATACAGTTAATAAAATTATTATTTTAGACAGACTTGAATATTTCGTAGGAATTAAAGGAACAGCACTAGACTGGTTTAAATTCTATTTATCTGACAGATTTCAGTTTGTTGGTGTTAATGATAAATCTTCCTCATGCTCAAAGGTTACCTGTGGAGTACCACAGGGATCAGTGCTAGTGTCGTAGAATTTCTCTTCTTTACGACTTAAAATTGGTACTAAGTTTTATAAAAATTCAAAGTTCTTCAGAGACAGAAAAGTCTTCAAACAATGATCCAAAAAATCAGGCAGAGGCAGCTGAATCCAAGTCCAACGTGGCTTTTATTGCAAAGCACAGCACAATCACCCTGAGCTGGTCACCGGTGAGCAACTGCCTAGATGCTGAAAATGCTCCTCTTTTATACATTTAGGAGGCTGGAGGGCTCCTCCCCCTAACCCCTCCTTTCTTTGCACCGTTTTGGGTGTTTTTCTTCGGTTAGGTCCAGTTATTTTTATCCTACCGGGGGAAAGTCCCCTTCAAACCATATTTTTTATATATTTAATCAAAAATCGTTATTACAGATCATGGTTACATTTCTTGCAGGTCATGCTAACATATGTCTGCCATTAAATCAACAATACATCATAGTCTTCAGTCATTAATGTTTCAGAACAAAGTTGTCATCCAGTGATTGTAACATTTTCATCCAGTGATTCATGATTGTAATATTCACATTAAAACTTGGTCAACATATACTTGGTGCTTAAAGTTCCAGTGATTCATTCTTCCAAGTGTGTGTCTCATGAACAGGCCCTGTTTGGGCTCAGCTATCTTCTTACAGGTCTTCTGCATTTTTCTTAATTTAGCCTTGTCTTCCAAGCTGCATTTAGACACGCATACCAGACCCTCTGTCATGTTCTGTGCTGAAGCTGCACTCAGAGTAGCATACCAGCCTATCTTATTCCATGCTTAAAGCACCAACTTTGAGACCTTTAAAGTAAGACAGTTATTCAATGCAAAAGACATGAGTATATTTTAATTATTAGTGCCCACTAATTTACTACACAAGGACCAATTCTCTTTACTTTATACATGCTCCCAATCGGTAGAATTATTAGACAGCATGGGATTAATTTTCACTGTTATGCTGATGATACTCAGCTATATCTGTCTATAATCCAGATGAAGCTAATCCATTACATAGATTACAGGCATGTCTGAAGACATAAAAACCTGGATGACTCTTAACTTTCTGCTTCTGAATGCAGATAAAACAGAAGTTATAGTCTTTGGACCAGAGTCTCTGAAAAAGAAACTGATTAGTCAGTCACTTCATTTGGATGGGATTAAACTGATTTCAGATAATAAAGTAAAAAATCTTGGTGTTATTTTTGATCAGGACCTGTCATTTAAATCCCATATCAAAGAGGTTTCTAGAATTTCCTTCTTTCATCTGAGGAATATTGCAAAGATTAGAAATCTCCTGTCCAGGGGTGATGCTGAGAAACTAGTCCATGCATTTGTTACTTCAAGGCTGGACTATTGTAATTCTTTACTATCAGGAAGTCCACAAACTGTAGTTAAAAGCCTTCAGCTGATCCAAAATGCTGCAGCCAGAGTTCTGATGAAAATGAAAAAGAGAGATCACATCTCTCCTATCCTGGCTTCTCTTCATTGGCTTCCTGTTAAATCCAGAATAGAATTTAAAATCCTCCTTCTCACATATAAAGCCTTAAATAACCAAGCTCCATCTGATATCAGAGATCTGATTTTATTGTCGGTGAAACAAGTCAAGCTGAAAATACCAAAAGGCCTTTTTCTAAAGAGAAATGGAACTAAAGATGTCTGCCGTTAAGGTTTTAAGCTCAGACATCAGAAAGGGCATCTTTAAAATATCTTTCTGTTATGTTAGCAGAAAAGGCAGTGCGCATCATAAAGTCCCCCCTCCTGCACTGTGATTGGTCCATCAAGATCTGACTGAAGTCAACAGCTGTTTACTATAATTGATTCATACAGTGAATGTAAAGAAAAAAAGAAAAACTTGCTAGAAGGGCTGTCAGAGTTACAAGATTAATGTGCAAAAATGCAAAGTTCTTTAATCTTAATCTAATCTTAAAGCAGGATTAAAGCACTTCCTTTGGTTCTCTGTGGAATTGGTTTGGTTTCCTAAAAGCTCTGTAGAGACCGGTCCACTGTCCACCTCATCCGCGCTCTGACCAGCTGACCAACCAGAGGTGATCACAGCTGATCTGAGAGGAGAGAAACAGGACCAACCTTTGGATGCTTTAACTGCTGGAGACTAAAGAATAAAAGAGCAATTAACAGCGTCTGTTTACTGGAATTAATAAGCAGAGGATGAACCGACTTTGAGGATGTTGGGTTCTGATAAGAGCTAATGTTTCTCTCCATTAAATTAATACAGCAGGTTCACTTTTTATATTTGTGTTCTTATAATACAAAAAAATATATATATTTCAGTGGAACTCAATATTTTTAGTCTTGTCCTTTAAGTGCTGATTAAGCTTGATGTATTATATTCGGCGTTTAAAATGAGCCGTCTGTCACAGCGTCTGCAGCTTTACCCTCAGATTCCAGATCCTCCATCCGCTGTGAGTCTGTGTAATAGGGATAATTAGGATCAGAAAAAGTTGGTTTGTTCTCTACTTCCTCAATCAGCATCTCTTCATCCATGCCTGCTATAAGAAGTTTCTTTGGAAGTTGTGAGATTCGCTCTCAGAAGTTGTTATGACTGGATTTGATGAAACTTTTTAGCTTCTCAGTATAAAATAAATGTTTTGATGGAGATGAGAAATCTGCTTCCTGGTATGTTGAAGTAGCAATAATTCTGATCCAATAATTTAATTAAACAATCTTAATTTTTTGGAATATATAAGAATTGCTCTGATCAATCCATTGTTACAATATTTTAATTTGACAAACCGGATCTTCTCCACATTCTTTTTCCTGTTTGGTACGATTGCAAATTCGGATCTTGACCTGGCCGGCTTCCAGCAGACTGGAGGGAAGAAAAAAAATAGCTCTGCTCCGTATTTTGACAGTGAAGGACGGAGAAGACGTAAGTGGACTGTGACGTTCAGAGGAGTAGCGGTGGATGTGGAACCCCCAGATTCCACATACTCTGTCAGCGCTGCGCTCATGTACGTCCTGAGGAGTATTTGTCTGTCCTGTTAACCAATGAGAGCTGTTCCACGTCCACCGCTACTCCTAAACTCGTCACCGTCCACGTGCGTCTTCTCCGTCCTTCACCATCAAAATACGGAGCAGAGCTATTTTTTGCTCCGCTCCGGCTGGTCCGTCCAGGTCAAGATCCGTAATTACAATCGCACCAAACAGGAAAAAGAACACAGAGAAGATCCAGTTTGTAATATGGATTGTTAACTACAAATCAGAGCATAATTGTATATATTCCCCAAAACTAAGAGTGTTTAAACAAATGATTGGATGCAAAACTATTGGTACTTCAACATACCAGGAAGCAGATTTCTCATCTCCATCAAAATATTTATTTTATACCGAGAGGCTTAAAAGTTTCACCAAATCCAGTCACAACAACTTTCAGGAGCAAATCTCACAACTTCCAAACAAACTTCTTATCTCAGGCATGGATGAAGAGATGCTGAGTTTGGAAGCAGAGAACAAGCATAGTTCATCCAAACCTTGGATGATCCTAGTTATCCCTGTTAGAAAAATCCACAACAAAACCAAAATATTTAGACAGAAACTGAACATATGCTGGATGCTGGTTTTTTTTAATGTCATGCTTAATTAAGCGTTCATTACCGCATATTTTGCTCCTATGAATGTAATAATGATATAGCGCATGCTCTCCTGGAGCTCAGAGGAAGTCTGAGCGGAGCAGGATGGGAGGAACAGCGGAGGCTGCAGGCTTTGCTTTGATCAGGCGGTCTGGAGCGCAGCGGAGAGGAGCGGAGTGCTGATGGAGGATGTGGGATTTCAGGGGAACAGTTCTCATTGATTAACATGACAGACAGGGACCCCGCATGATGTCCGTGAGTTCTGAAGGAGGATGAAGAATCTGGGGGTTTTATACTCTGCATGGCTTCCCCCTACACAGAGTAAATCAGTCAGTGAATTATCTTTGTCAAACCCATCTTTAAAACCCTATATTAGTGAGAGCATTGTTGCTATTTTGTAGGCTAACTGTTAAATTTAAGCTTAGCTTTCTAGAAGCTGCGAGTAGAAGCTGAGGAGTCGATCTGAAGAGGGAGAGACGATTACTGCCAGTTCATTCTCAGCGCTCTAATAATAATAATAATAATGATTATGTACTGATGTCACTCTCTGTTTCTCTGGTCCACATGCTGAGGCTGCACCGCATCACTAAAGTGAAAACAATCAAATTACATTTTAGTAACACAAGAAAGAACATGTTCCAAACAATTAATTTTAAAGGATTTTACAGCATTTCCTTAACAAATATCCAAAGTGTAAAAACTCAGTTCTAATAAAGAATAAACCTAACAGTTTAGAACGGGTTTATTTGCCTCCAAATGTCTTAAAAGAAAAATCAGATGTTTATTCCTGTGAGGATTATTTTGGGGGGAGGCTGTGTGGGAGCTGAATTAATCTACATTGATATTAATCTGTTGATAAAAACGTGTTTTTCTTTTCTTTCTACTAATTTGCTTCCATGGCTGTTATTGATTCTGTTTTTCTCAAAATTCCCCAAAAATGAATCACAATGAGATATTTTTATTCATTTATTTAGGAGGGGGGATTAATCCAGATTAATTTATCTATTAATCAAGTAACTATCAGTGATTTTTACAGAATGTTGTTTCTGTTAAACTGATGATCAATCAGGTTGTTGTAGTTGTCTAAAAAGCTGTAATAAGCTGTTTAAAGTTGTTGTTTTTAAAGAACATTTGTGTTTGGATTACTGAGAGCAGCTGATAACACCACACTACATGAGGAAGCAGAAAACAAAGCAGCTTCTAAATTTTCATCCCGTTTTAGAGCGACAGTCATTTGTTTCCAGGAGTTTTTCTCCAATCTGTTGATAGTGGTGATATTGTAACAGACTGTTCTGTGTCTGTATGTTAAAGTGGTGTCCATCCCTGTTGCCGGGGAGCGAAAGTTCGCCGGGTGTACGGCAGGGGGAGCTTGTGAGTTTGTGGTTATGTGTTGAGAGAAGAAGAAGAAATAAAACCGGAAGCGGGGTTACCGCCGAAAACTCCGACCCGTCTCTTGTCCCGTTATTGCCTATAAAGTACGTAATACGGACCCAAAACGCTCGGTTACATTGGTGGCAGCGGTGGGATTCCTCTACTAAACCCCCGTTGTTTTTCTAAGTTTTTTTTCGTAGCGTATTTAGCCCGTGACGGCTAATTGTCAGTCGGTTAGCATAGCATCTCCGATATAGCCGGCTAGCTAACCTCGTGCGGTGCGGTAGAAAACAGCACTTAAAGGACATGTGGTCGGCAGATGAGGACCCTTTTAAACCCAGCCCGAGCAGGCTTGGCAGATACTCACCGGGCAGTGATGTTAAGATTGACCTCCCCCCTCCTTTCAACAGGGATGGACACCACTTTAACATACAGACACAGAACAGTCTGTTACAATATTAATGAGTTCAATCACAGGATGTCTCTAAATGTTTCCATTAGAGAAGCATCGCCAGCAGGAGCTGCTGCTGCTGCCATCATTAACACATCTCCTCTTCTTATTCTAGAAGAAGAAGGAAAACACAGAGAGTGGAAGCCCCAAATAAACCAAGCTTTAGCCACTCACACTGGAAAGGCTGCAATGACCAAACATGATTCAGACTTTAGCCTTTAGTCAACCTCCGCTTTCTTTCTTTCTTCTTGTTTAATGGCGGTTGACAAGCAACTTATTGGTGTGCATTACCGCCACCTAGCTTTAGCTTAGCATCTTGATCTCCTCTAAGCAGTTTTCCAATCAGATGAGGCTAAAATCCACAGTGTGCATCATCAGGGAATCGTTTCTATCAAGTGTTTCCTACCTATCCGGTGTAAGATGATCTGGGGGATCCTGGTGAAATCCAGCAGTAGATGTTGATCGTCCATCTTTTCCTCCAAATTGACCAAACTCCCTTTAAACTCCGTGAATGTTTCTTCAGCAGGAGTTAACTGCTCGGTGATAAACTCTCCTTGAAGCTGGACTAAAGACATTCTCACTGCAAACAACACTCCCAGATTATCAGCCTATCTACAATGACTCCACACACAAGCTAAGCTAATGCTGCTAGCTGCCAGTCATAGATATCTATAATAAAGTAAAAGTAAAGTAAAACCCGCCGAAGGGTAGACCTGGTTTATTATGGATATCTATGTAGAGAAACCAGTCTGGGTTCTTCTTCTTTGTTAGATTGGCGGATTGCAAAAGACTTATAGGTGCATACCGCCACCTACTGTACATGAAACAGCCTGGGTTGCTTTTTTTGTGCGCCTCTAACCAAGAACTGGTTTGTCCCAAAAAAATCAAAATAATAGCGAGAGCTGCAGAAAAATACCTTGAGGTGAAATATTTAAACTGGGAAACGGTTGAAAATACACGGAAGAGGATTAGTGCCACTGGGGGAAAAAAAAATGAAGATTAACAGATTTTTTAAATTTTATTTCAGTATAATATGAGACTTTAATCTCAGAATTCTGACTTTTTTCTCATAATTCTGACTTTAATGTCAGAATTCTGACTTTCATCTCAGAATTCTGAGAAAAAAGTCAGAATTCTGGGATTAAGGTGAGAATTCTGACTTTCATCTTAGAATTCTGAGAAAAAAGTCATATACTGAAATAAAATTTAAAAGTCAGTCATATACTGAAATAAAATTAAAAAATCAATTAACTTTTTTTATTTTTTCAGTGGCCCTAATCCTCTTCCGTAAAATGTGATGTGAAAATGAGTTGGACCATTAGAAACAGGCAGAGTGACGTATGCATAAAGACAAATGAGTAATTATAAGGAACAATTTGATTATATTTCATTATGTTGGGTAAAAATATACAGTTCGGAAAACTTTCCTTTTTTCTGGGGGCGAGTCTTGTTTCCTGTTACCTCATTTATAAGGAAATAGTTATATAATTGCATCAGATTGCTTATAAAATTATTCATAATGTATACAAAGTGAAAAAAAATACTGGAAAGATTTAAACTTGATATTGACTATTTTTGTACATTAAAGTGATATTTAAGGCTGCAAAAAATGAAATAGTCTAAAGAGCTGTTCTTAAAGAAATTTATTTTTGTTTACACTTGTGTATACAAAATGGCGAAATAAATCTAAGTCTAATAAGAGAGTAAACTGGAAGATAAAGGCTCTGTTCGAAAACCTAGGACGCATCCTTAGAAGACCGGATTCGAAGGCCGATTACATCATAGCGCGGCGCCGAGGTTGGATTCCAAGAGTCCTCGTTATGCGGCCTTAAAATGCGTCCTTCTTTTTGCCCGATTTGAAGGACGGGTCCGATGTATCCTCGGTATCATTGGATATCCCAGGATTCATTGCGAGACCAAGCAAGCCGTGATCAGAGGAAAGGTTAGTTGGCGCCAAACAGTGGTGAAAATTGGAAGTTCAGTTTAATATAATACAAGTCATTTAATAGTTCCGTCTGAAATGAATGAAAATAGTTGTTTTAAGGGTTATTGAGTCAGATATGTGGCGGTAATGTTTGATTTATCTAAAGGTTTTAATCTGTTACTGTGTAAATGGGTTTGGCTGTAATTTAAGGACAGATTCTAATAGATCTGCAGGGTGGGGACTATAAATCTGATAGGATTTTTTATCTTTTTATTGCTGTTTTGCAAAATATGCTTAACTAAGTATTTTTTGTTGTTGAATATTAGAGATTTTGCAGATATATTTTTTTATAAATACATTGTTTAGATTTACTTTTATCTTTCTACCCCTTTTATAGAATAGAAAATCCCTTTATTGTCCCACAATGGGCAAATGTACAGCAGCAGAAAGATTATTGAAAATGGTCACACAAATGTGGACCTTAGAAAAATGTATAAGAATAACATGATAGGGAAGAGTTAAAATATAAACAATAAAATACTAGAAAGTGTTTTAACAATATAAAACTGGGGAATAAATAACCAATATGCAGCTATGGACATTTTTACAGTAATGGATATTTGAAAATAGCAGCAACATCAGAGATGTGCAGAATGACAGCAGCAGGTTATTTAACTGACTAAGGTTTCTATTATTACATTTAATTTTATTTGTTCCTGCTCCCGGTGGTTGGAACCTTTATTCCACTCTGGATTCTTGTGAGTGTAGTCTTTGTTCACTTCACAATAAAAAAGAAATAAATAAACAGTTTTGAGAACTTCTGTATTCATTGTTTTCCTGCTTTGTGTGTCAACGTTTACGGTTGCTAAGCAACAGAGCATACGGCGGTAAAACCCGCCGAAGGGTGGACCTGTTCGAATTTACAGCCAAAACTCCTCCGGTCTCCTTATTTTCAAGGACTTCGAAGGATCCAGTCTAGGTAGACCGCGTCCTTGGAGGATGCAGCCCAGGTTTTCGAACAGAGCCCAAGTCAACTTAGAGAGAAAGTCATTATACTTTGCATTGATGATTAGAACTTGGATAAAGACTTCATCAACTTTGTCCAACTCTTTCTTGACCTGGGAAAATTCCACATCCACAAGAGGAAATGGCAAAAAAAAAATAATCCCTCACTTCAGCAAAACCCAAATGCTATTTGTGTTCTTGACAAACTTTTTATTTTATATCTATATTTATCCATTGTTTTATTCACTAATCCCCTGGAGAGACATGTTTGTTGTGACTGTTGATGGAATAAAAAATAAAAACAACCATGAAGTGGGAGGAGCGCGCGCGCACACACACAGAGGCGCGCACAGGCCGCCAGGGCCGCAGATGAAGCATGACGGAGCAGAGCGAGACACAGCAAGGTGACCCGGTCCAGCGTGTCATGCTCCGTCAGCCCTTCCTGATCGGCGTGGCGGGCGGCACAGCCAGCGGCAAGGTTGGCCTCCATCACTGCAGAGCACCTGTTCATTGATTAGGACAGGAGGGGAGCTTTTTGTTTGTTTCATTCTATTCATCATTTGGGAATCTTTGCTTCATCAGAGCAGATTTGGTTGCTTATTTAAAAGGTTAATTTGCAGAATGTCTAATTTAAAAAACAAGGTGATATGAGAATCAGTGAGATTTCAGTTTATCAACAGCAGCTGTGCAAAGGCTGCAGAATGAGTCAAATCAGAATAAACTAAAACACATCTATAAAACTCTAGGGAGGAAAGTAGGCCTACTTTATTTTAAGTTAAGACATTTAACACTGTTTATTATGTATCTTGTTTTATATTAATTTAGCTCATTTTACTTGCATTAAAGAGAGCTGCATTGTGCAGAAATTTAAACTCTTCCAATTTATTTGTCCTTCAGAAAAAAAAGATGATTTGCAGGTTGAGAAACTGTCGTTTGCTGTTATTAAAGTAGAGGAGAAACTGAATTAAAAGCTGATTAAGTTGGCAGAGCTTTCAGCATTCAGAGCATTCAGTCGTTGGTGGCTTCTGCTTCCTGATGTGTGAGAGCAACCGTTCACTGAAACACCTGTTTTCACAGCCATGGTGTCTGAATGGGGGTTAAAATTGTCTTTATTCTATGAATACATCTATGAGCTGCAAGGACAACTAACTAAACCAAAACAACAAAAAAGATGCATTCCATTCACTGGAATAAATTAAAGTCTAGATAAGTACTTTTTTCTTAAAACAAGTGCATTTTTTCTTGGATTGAGGAGGTAAAAGAGACATCTTACTAATAGAGCAAAGCAATTTACACTTACAATAAGAAAAAAACAATTGCATTGTCTTATTTCAAGTGTATATTATCTAATTATCTTATTTTAAGAGTAAAAATACTCATTCCATTGTCAAACTATCTCAATTACCTACTCAAATTAAGGGTAAATACACTTAATTTAAGAAATTTGTACTTATTTCTAGATCGTTTTTCTAGTGTTACTATTTCCACTTCAGAGGCAATGATTACATTTTAAAAATTTCAGGCATGAAAAATGATAAATATTAAAAGCTCTGCTGGTGCTTCTGTTTTTTATATCCTGAAAAGGGCTGCTAAATGTTTTAATCTCTTCATTAAAACCAGGATAAATGATGGCTGTAGTGAAAAGAGAGACGCCATATCTTACTCAACATTATCAAGCTTATTTCTAACAGATTTTTCATATTTTTAGAAAATTGTGTTCAACTTTTTTTCCGACTTAAAAAAACTAACAAAAAATGTGTTTATTTTATGACATAATTAAGAGAAAAAGGATAATAAAAGAAAAATTACAAACATTAAATTAACTTTTTTACATAAAGAAAAATATAACTTGTATGTGATCTGTACTTTTTAAATATCCACAGTGCCATTTCAATTTGTAGGTTTTAAAATGGAAAAAAAGAGAATAAATGCTAATATTTTTGTAAAATCACATTTGAAAAAACAAAACATCTTTCCCATTTGTAAGTGATAATTTCTGTTATAATTAGCCATTTTTCTGGGAAATTCAATTAAATTAGTCTGTGGAGAAAGCTTAGATATGGTTTAAAAAAAAAAAAAAAAAGTCATGTCTGATGGGGGGTTTGAGTCTCTTCTGGAAAAACACAGTTAGAAAAGGATGAGATGATGATATAAACAGAATTAACTTCTATCAGGCATCTAAAATGTTGCAGTTATGGAAAATAGGACTTAGACCCTGATGTTTGATAAGGATGCTTGGTATTTTCGTTCAGTCATCGGTGTGCAACAAAATCATGGAACTTCTGGGTCAGAACGAGATCGACCATCACCAGCGGCAGGTGGCCATCCTCAGCCTGGACAGCTTCTACAAGGCTCTGACCCCGGAGCAGAAGGCCAAGGCACTAAAGGGCCAGTTCAACTTTGACCACCCAGGTATCCTAATAGTCTTTACCAAGAAGAAATTCTTCAACCTAAAGAATAGTTTAACCGGTCCTGCTTCTAATTTCCTGCTGCCTTTTTGTGATTTTCTTCTGTCTAGATGCTTTTGACAATGACCTGATAATCGCCACCCTTTGGGACATCAAGGAAGGGAAAACGGTCCATATCCCGGTTTATGACTTTGTCTCCCATTCCAGGTCAGTCAGTTCCAGACCTCACAGAGCCACAAGTGTTCAAGAACAATGCCTGCTTTAGTTTATATGGAGTGATTTTTGTCCCATTATTGTTTCAATGAAAGACCATATTTTGGGAGTGGACATTTGAAAGCAATACCAACCATAAATAAAAATAAATAAAGGTTTTAAGAGTAACTTTGCCGTTTTCTTAGATTTACAAAATCATTTTACGTTTTTAAAATTGCAGATTTAAAATGTTCAAATATCTCTTTATATGATTATTTTCAAATTGCGTTTCTCACATTCTTTACACACCAAGCCCAGATCAAACGTTCCTTTCAACCAATGAAAACATTGCTATCGTCGAGCGGACCAATGAACTGGAAAGCATGATTTGATATTAAACCCATTTGTAAAGCTCAATCTGAAAATGGAGAATTTGAAAGAAAGAAATAAAATAAAAAAAAAGTTAAATCTGAGAAAACAGCAATGTTACTCAAAATTAATTTCTGGTTTGCAATCATTTCAGGTTTTAATTCAAAGAAACATGTTTTTTTTTTCTTGCAACAATAAAGGAACCAAATTCACTCCATACCTGAGTTCTGGTGTTACTGCCCCCCTGTGGACAAAACGAGACATGGCAGAAATGTTTCAGAGTTTTATGTTTTCTCTCTTCCCATCAGGAAGAAAGAGACGGTGACGGTTTATCCTGCAGACGTGGTTCTGTTCGAAGGCATCCTGATGTTCTACTCTCAGGAGATCCGAGACCTTTTCCAGATGAAGCTGTTTGTGGATACGGACGCAGACACGCGCCTGTCACGCAGAGGTGGGCTTAAAAAGACGCTGCGCTAAAGCTCTTGGAAAGCAGAGAACTCTCTTCATTTATCCGACCCTCACAGGGTTGGACCACATTTTGCTTTCAGACCTTCCATAAATGATGAATAGATTTACGCTTCATATCAAAATGCTTCATAAAGTACCTGCAGTTTTTTCTGCTGTGCATCCATTATGCAGCTTTCTATTCCCACGGATGCGTTCGCCTTCTTCTTATCCTAACAGGAGCTTTTCTGAACCGCTCTTTACGTTGCTATCACGTTCAACCAGTCTGCATTTTCTACTTTGACATCAGGTACGACTTCCCAAGAGATTTCCTTTGCTGAAAGCTTATCTTTAGGGAAAATGTGTTGAAAATTCAACAAGATCAGCAGTTTCTGAAATGCACAGACCAGCTTGCTGGACCTGAAATACGGTTCCATGTTTAAAGTCATTAAATCATCTTTGTTGGATATTCTGATGGTTCATTGATGTTTAGCAAGTCATCTTTACCACGTCTAGATCAATAAATGACAGTTTATCATATTTGTGAGCAAGCAGTTTAACAGGTGTCAAACAAAAATTCACCTAAAGATGGGATGGAAAAAGCAGCTCTGTCCTGATTCAGAAAAGTCAGGTTATATTATCAACAAAGAATTTTGTAATTTTTGGTTAGGATTTATCTTCTTTTTCTCTTTGCAAGTTTTAACTACATGGACGAATATATTTGGGCCATAAATTGTATTTGAAAATATATCTTATTTTGTAACTTGACAAAAAAAAAATCCTATTTTTTGAGCTGAAATACAATAATTGAAACTATAAACTAGAAAAATGAAACCGAAAATAATGGAAAAGAAAAATGTAAGACAGAAAAAAAAATAGATTTAACACCATCCATCAATTTTCTGTCATGCTTATCCAAAGCGGGGTCGAGAGGGGTGCTGGTGCCTATCTCCAGCTGTCTACGGGCGAGAAGCGCGGTCCATCCTGGACAGGTTGCCAGTACATCGCAGGACAACACAGAGAATTTAGAGAAGCCAGTTAACCTAACAGTCATGTTTTTGGACTGTGTGAGGAAGCCGGAGTACCCGGAGAGAACCCACGCATGCTCAGGGAGAACATGCAAACTCCATGCAGAAAGAACCTGGCCCAGGAATAAAACCCGGAACCTTCTTGCAATAAGGCAGCAGTGCTATCCAGTGTTTCACTGAGCAGCCCATAGATTTAAGACTAAATATCTAAAAATGAAATTAACAAAATAAACTTAACCCTTTAAAGTCTGAACCATGAAATAATTTACAGAACATTCAAATTTTTCAAAATTAGATTAAAATAAATTAGAAAGAGTTAAATTAGATCATTTATTTGCATCAAATTTGATATATTAGGCAATTTCGTATAATCTTTTATACATTTTCTGTTCGCTACATGTGTCTGAATATTAAAGTCAGTTTCAACAACAAAAACATCACACTGATGATACAGAAAGTCTCATGTGTCAAATATGATACACTTGGCTTGAATTATTTTTTTATTAAATTAAAAAAATTGGGAGACAAAATAAAGATGATTAAAACTAAAAATATTATCTTTTTTAGTTTCAGATATGTTTTGGAAAAAAGGCCCCAATGTAGTACCATAAATTCAGCGCTAAATAAACCAAACCATCAGCATATTTTTATATTAATTCATCTAAACTACAAAAACACACACATGTGACTTCACTCATTAATCTGTGGGTTAAATTATTAATGAAAATCAGCATTTCCTGTCATTCAGACATCTGGTCCACAACACTTTAGATTCTTATAAAGATGCTGGAATCGGTTCTAGGAGGTTTGGAGCAAATACTGCAGTTTTTTAAAATCTTTATTAACAGTGTTTTTCTAGAACTTTCTTGCCCAGATGGTCAGAAGTTATCTAAATATTTTGAGACAGATTTGTGTTTGAAGGCCACCGTAAGCAGATGCCTTTGTCCTGGTTTTTTATTTCTTGTCCAGAGAGAGACGTGAAGATCAGCAGAGCCTAAACACTGTCTGGTTTAGCATGCAGCCCATGCTCTTTCTAACGTGTGTGTGTGTGTGTAATAACTAGGTGGTGTTTTAAGAGGATTTTTGGTTCAAACCAGAGTGTCAAAGTTGTTAGTATAATATATATATAATATATAATAATACCTGTTCAGTATTTCCTTGTTTCTGCAGAATATTGCAAAAATTATAAATATCCTGGACTGATGCAGAGAAACTAGTCCATGCATTTGTTACTTCAAGGCTGGACTATTGTAATTCTTTACTATCAGGAAGTCCACAAGCTGTAGTTAAAAGCCTTCAGCTGATCCAAAATGCTGCAGCCAGAGTTCTGATGTAAATGAAAAAGAGAGATCATATCTCTCCTATCCTGGCTTCTCTTCATTGGCTTCCTGTTAAATCCAGAATAGAATTTAAAATCCTCCTTCTCACATATAAAGCCTTAAATGGCCAAGCTCCATCTGATATCAGAGATCTGATTGTTCCTTATGTTCCTAACAGAGCACTTCGCTCTCAATCTGCAGGTTTACTAGTGGTTCCTAGAATTTCTAAAAGTAGAATGGGAGGCAGATCTTTTTGTTATCAGGCTCCTCTCCTGTGGAACCAACTACCAGTTTTAGTCAGTGAGGCAGACACACTGTCTACTTTTAAGGCTAGGCTTAAAACTTTCCTTTTTAATAACGCTTATAGTTAGAGTGGCTCAGGTTATCCTGAGCTATCTCTATAGTTATGCTGCTATAGACTAAGACTGCTGGAGGACATAGGGACCTCTTTTTCATCATTCTGCTTCATTCTATCTCTATTCTCCCACTCTGCAGAATCTATTAGTTCAATCTCTACCGTTCTGCTCTCTCTGCTTTTTCTCATAGTAGCTTCATCTGGTCTGTTCCTGTTTGGCTGTGACTCCATCCTGGAGAGAAAAATCAGCTGTGCTGCTGCCATCAACACCTTTGTTTCTAGATGTTGGAGATCTGCCTGTTTTTTCAGTGTAGTCCTGTTTCTCTGACTGTGACTAACTGGATGTGTTCTCTTCATCCTCTGACATGGGAGCTGGCTCGGAGCTTGTCTGCCTGGCTGTCTGTTTCCTGGATGGGGCCGCCTTTTGCAGCTGCTTTTTGTATCTCTGCTTCTGTCTCTTTGAACCCCAGTCGGCCTCAGCAGATGGCCGCTCACACTGAGCCTGGTTCTGCTGGAGGTTTCTTCCTGTTAAAAGGGAGTTTTTCCTCTCCGCTGTCGCTACAAGGATGCTTAATGTCAGGGGTTCCATTCGAGTCAATGAGTCGATGCAGTCAACTGGTTTTCATTAGATAGAAAACTTTGAATCAATCTGACTGGATGATCTGGTGAACTGTAAAGTGCCTTGAGATGACATGTGTTGTGAATTGGCGCTATAGAAATAAATTGAAATGAAAAGTTCAATCTTTAATTGCATTGTTAAAAATATATATATATATATATATATATATATGGCAAAGCATGTAATATGAACATCCAATTACATCCAGCCTGCTGGAAAACATCCATTAATATGCATGTAAATACATCCCTGATGATTTATTATCATTTAATCGAATCCCAGAACCAGTTTCCCTGTTTTTGGTCAAAGGCAGGATGTTTGGATATCAGGCATTAACTTTGTGCGCCGTGTCTCTCAGTGCTGAGGGACATCCGCGAACGCGGCCGGGACTTGGAGAGCGTCCTGGCTCAGTACATCAACTTTGTGAAGCCTGCCTTTGAGGAGTTCTGCCTGCCGGTGAGTCTGCTGTCTGCCTCTGTGACCGCGAACAAAAACTATAACTTTCCTGACTGAATGTTTTTTTTTTTTTTTTTGCTGTTTAGACCAAGAAGTACGCAGACGTGATAATACCAAGAGGAGTGGATAACACTGGTGAGTTCTGGGGGAGGATCAGCTACACTTTAGCAGACTTCTTGAAGGACGCAGCTGTGTTTATTGTTTATCCCTGAGCTCAGAGGTTTCCTCTGGGAGCTACGGCAGCAAACCAAGGACAAAATACTGCCTGAGACAAAAAACAAAACAAAAAAAACTGGACTGGTGGGTTTCTATCCTGGCCTGCTTGTTGATTCATCACATTTGGTTCTAAAGTTAAAGGTTTGTGTTTTCTCCACTTAGAACAACCATCTGTTTGGATGGAAGGAGTCCTCTTAGTACTGGAATTGTTTTCGGGTCACATAACCAAAAACTGACACCTGTTTGGGAGGAATGTGATGAAAAATACCCTCCGAAAAAATAATTAAAATCTGTTAAGTTTTTATTTATTTTATTCTCCTAAATACGATTCAGAGCTACTACTGACCTAAAGTCTCAGACCTAGAACAGAAATCCATGCCACACTTTTCAGTTTCATATTGTTTATCATCCTGAAAACCTTGCAGCGTTTTCCTTAAACTCACAGAATCAACCTTGTTTCTCAATAAAAGTTGTTTTTTTCTTTTTCGGTACGTTATAGGATCTGTGTTTCTCTGTTCTGTGAGTTTTTACACGCCTCTTTCCTCCGTTGCTACAGTCGCCATAAACCTGATCGTCCAGCACATCCAGGACATCCTGAACGGCGGCCTGACCAAACAATTCAACAGCTGGATCAGCAGCTATAAGTTCATGAAGCCGCAGCAGCCCAGCGTGGAGCCGAGCAGTCGACCCCACTGACCCGAGGGAAAGACGGCGTCGCAGTGCTCCTCTCCCTCCATCGTTACCTAGAAACCGTAAAAGTCTGATTCTGCTCAGACTGCAGAGATCTGGTCAATCAGGGATCTGGATTCAAGCTTCAAGTTTGTGGACCTGTGGGACCAACCCTGCTTCCTCTGTTTGATTAGAGTCCAGAAGCTTGTCTCCTCAGAGACGATCTGATCAACATGGATGTTTTTGTTTACTTAACCTCCTTCTGAGAAACAATCTTTTCATATATGCAAGTTAAAGCTCAATAAGTCGATATTATTGCTTTTTTTTCTCCGTTGTCTAAGGTTGTATTTGCTTTGTTTTGAGCTAAAGGCTGATTGAAACGGTGCCGTTGTATCTGAACTTTATGGACCAGCTGCAAATGTTTGCTATTCACTAACCGTTCCAGAGCAGTTTGTTCTAATTTCTCCTGTGTTGTTTTGCTTTGCTGCTATAAACTCTGATGTATCAGAGGCTGTGCTGATGGTGAGGATTCCCACCAACATGCACGCTCATTAGGTTCAATATGTCTATAAAAAGCTGCTGTAGATGTTCTTTTGATACTTTTGTTTATACATATGAGTTTATAAACTTTCCAGGTACTCTGCTGCCCTCCTCAGGCTGGTTTGTGTCATTTCACCGTTACTAAAGCTCATTTTTGCTCATTAGGGGAGATGAGCAGTTCTTTTTCTTTACTTCTTTGCCAGAGTTTTTTTTTTTTCACCCAAGTATTGTTGCAAGCAAAAACACATTTTTAAAATTGAAATAAAAAAAAGAATACAATCCAAAAATAAAAATTTGAAAAAATTCTAATTCAAAAACACATTTTTGAGATTAACTTTACTTTTTTTTTCCAGATCTTTTTTTACAAAAAGTTTTTTTTTTTCCACAAATTAGTTTTTCTAAAAGATATGTATTTTTAAAGACAGTTTTATGAATTCTATTCTTTTTAAATTGTGTTTTAAAGATCAAGTTCACTTCAGGGTCGAGCAAAACTGCTTTTTAAGCTAGCAACAATATTTGTATCGGTCAAGAACGAGCATTTCTATTGGGCTTGAATCGAAGTCTTATTTAAAAAGGCAAAAAAAAAAAAAAATACCACCAAAAAAATAAATGTCACCATTTAAAACTATACAATTTGTGAAATTAGTTTTAAAAATTTTGGAAAAAATACAATATGAAAAAACAGAAAACAGGAAGCTTAAACGGAAATTAAGTTTCTCCAAGTCTAATCTTGTTGCATTTTATTTAAAATTTCAGTTTAAAAAACATGCATTTTGCTTGCAAAATAATGGAACAAAATCCACTCCATATCATGGCTCAGAAATAAGACCAACAGTTTAATTTTGCTCACTCATCCAAAAGGCTCTGAACAGCAGCTGGAATGGACGACGCCTACAGGAATACTGTTAGCTTCCAGTATCTTTCCTTTTTAACATTTCCAGTTAGCCTGGCCTGCAGTTTGCTTCATGACTGCTGGAATTCTCCTTGGATTGGCCGACCTACTGGATGCTTTGGATAAACTTCTTGTCTTGTTGCAAATGGCAGCTGGAGCGTCTCTGAAACTTTAATAAAACATAATTTCAGGCGTCTATTGGATGATCATAACCTGCTGGCTCTCCAGAAATAATCACTTGTCATAAACACAGCGACTTTTAAATTTGGGAAATATAATCTGTGGAATTTCTGATGCTGATATTTAATTTTACAGCTAATATCAGTCGACACATTTAACCCCTTAAATTATCAAAGCATGCGTCCCTCTAACCTGCATCCGACTTTTACTGAACCCAAATGCTCTGGGTTTCGTTCTCTTAAACTTATACAGAGCAGGAAAAATACAGATTCTCTACTTCAGAGCAAATATTACACTAAATTTGTTTTTAAATAAGTAGAGACACAAAATGCTACCAGCTAAATAAGCAACTCTAAGAGGTTTCCTTCTTTTCCAGTAATTTAACTGAAAACGGATAATTCAAATCAATGAGCAATTAAGGATAAAGTCTTTATTTAGTCCAATGTTTATAGGAAGACTCCATTCATTAGGTAATAAAGGAGGGGAGCACTAACTGTTTATGCCCCCCCCACTGTAAATCAGAATGGGTCATTGCTTCCCTGCAGAATCCAGGATCCATATAGAGTGTTTTTTTTTATTTATTTGAGCAATTATTGCTTTTCTGTTACTAGAAAACTTTTCTTTAGGTCATAAAGTGAGGCTTTATGTTGAGCTTATGATCAAGTGAGGATCTTATAACAACTGATTCCAGGTTATATCCAATTTTCGCAATTTTTTCCATGTAGCGTTTCTTGGCTTCTGGGAGTCCTCGCTTGTGAACTGAGAAACTGTCATTTTTTCCTTGAAATTTTGTTTTCCAGTAAAATAAAAAATTTAGAGCAAAATCTGGGCCTAAATTTAGCTCCATACAGACCCGGTGTTTCCCAGCTGAGAGGTTAGACTTTTATCAAACTATAGAGAGAAATCTGCTAATGGAAATAGAGGAATTTCTTTTATAAATCAAAGAATCTGTAGAAAAATTTAATCTGGTTCTTAAAACAGTTTAAAACGACTGAGCAAAGTTCTGAGCTGTGGAACATTTATTTGGCGAACAGAGATGATGTTTCCCATCAGAAGGAAGCCATTTTTATTTCCAGCTGCAGCTCTAACCAATCAGAGAGAACCTCTATAGAACCGTCCTGAAAACTTCCAGCGGGTCTTTATTCTCTGGCTGAGGCGTTCTGGCCAAACAGGCCGTGGTACAGCTCGCTGCGCGCCTCGTCACTCATGGAGCTGTGGTCCACGGGCGCCATGAAGTTCACCAGCTTGCTGTGGACATGGAAGCGCACTTTGCGGCCTTTGCTGGCTTTGGTGTCCACCTTCTTCTTGATCTTGCTGCGCAGCTTCTGGATGGCCAGCCACTGCCGGCCCATGGCCACCTGGTCGTTGGGGTCGGCCACGCTGGTCCTGCGCTCGATGAGCTCCCTCAGCAGCTGGTGGTAGAAGTCGTCGTCGTCAAAGATGTCCTCGTCCAGGTCTTTCAGGTGAGTGTTGGCCTTCAGGTGAAGCTCGGCGCCCTCTCCCTCCGCCGGGACGCCATCGGGGATCACGGCTGACGACTCTCTCTTGCCCAGGACTCGGTACTCTGAGCGCCTGGTCTGGGTGCGGCGCAGCAGCCGCTCTTTGTCCATCAGCACCTGCTCCACCTGGGTCAGGACGCTCCTTTCGAACGCTCCGAAACCTTTGCTGCTTTTGCCCGTCGCCAAGCGGGTTTTGTCGTGCCACTTCTGCAGCGTGGCGTTACGGTAAGGCTCGAAAGCTGCAAAGCGTTTGGCCATGAAGTCGGGGTACTCCGCCATGTCCAGCTTTCTTTTTGGCGCTGCAGCTTCCCGTGCCGACCTCTCATGTTCTTCATCATCCTCGTCACTGTTTATCTCCTCTTCCTCCTCGCTCCCGGCGGCGATGCGGCGCGTCTCCGGACTCTGGAACAGCAGCTGGTCGTGCAGCTCCAGCAGCGACCTCTGGAGCGCTTTCAGAGCCTTGTGGGCGTTCTTCAGAGCGTCGGCGTACTCGGCTCCACCCCTCCTCTTGAATTCTGGGAAGGCCGGCGGCTGCGGCAGCTGGTTGGCCGTCACCAGCGCCTTCTGGATTTTGATGCGGCCCTCCAGGAGCTGGTCCCACAGGGCCAGCTGGTTTTTCACCGCCAGGCCTTTCTCCACCTCCTCGTCCACCTGGTCTTTAGAAAACGTGCGGACAGCGTCTTCATCCTCCATATCCTCATCCTCAGAGCCTTCATCCTCATCACTGCCTTCGTCTTCATCATCCTCGCTCATCCCCAGGTCATCCATGCCCTCAGTCATCTTGTAAAAGTCCACTTCTTCAGTAAAAGTGGCGTCAGAGTCCTTAACCTGTGATGCTAGTTTGGCATCTTCTCCCAGGTCTTCCTCCTCCTCTTCATCATCATCATCATCATCATCCAGCTGCTGCTTTAAGCCATCTTCAGAATCATCATCCTCCTCTGCAGAACCCTCTTCCTCTTCTAAGTCATCTTCCTCCTCCATCCCATCATCATCACCTTCATCATCCTCCTCCTCCTCCTCCTCCTCCTCCTCCTCTCCAGCTCCCATCAGCAGCTGCTTACGCGACACCGGCCTCCCTGCATACCTCTTGTCTGTTTCCAGGAGCAGAGAGGAGCTCTGTTTGCGGAGGGCACTGATCATGGCTCCCACGCCGAGGTCATCCTGCTCTTCCTCGCTGAACCTGTCGACCACGCGCGCTTTGGTCGCCTCCTCGGCGTCATCCTCCGGATCCGCGAACTTCGGTAACGGATTCAGAAGCTCCTCCAGCTGCTGAGAGAACGAGCCCGCCATGGCGGATAGTTTGGATTTTACACGTGCAGCGACAAACAGAGCGGCTCCAGTTGGAACCTCGGTGTTGATGACGTCAATAAAATGCGACGTAAACTTATGAATCGTGACTACACCCTCTGTTTTGTCTTTCAGGCATATATTTGACTTGTGGACGAAGCCTTTTTTTTTTTTTTACATTTAATGGTTTAATAAATATTTTCCCTATAATATTATTTATACCATCTATTAATTAGATGGTATAAAGATGGGGATACAGCTAAAATGTCCTTTAAAATAGTGTAATAATGTGTATTTTCCACCATTTTTGGCTTTCTTAACTTTGATTTAACTTAAAATACCAGAGTGAACAATCATCAGAGCTTTCCACGATAAACTGTAATAAATGCAACATATTTCTGCTTTTATATTCCATTTATGATTTATATGAATCATTGCTAATTCAATTTAGCCCTATTCATCTATTATTTATTATTTATAAGGCCCTATTTATGTATTTATATATATATATATATATATATATATATATATATATATTTTTTTTTTTTTTTTTTTTTGTTAGTTAGTTATTTTAAAAATCATTAGTGTTTTTACCCCACATTATAAAATTTATTTATTAATATCATTAGATTTTCTTAACCAGATGTTTCTGGTGAATTAATAATCAATTCACATAATTTTGCTTCCCATATCAAGGTACAGCGAATTGATTATAACAATTTCTAAACTAAACTAAACTCTATTTGCACTTTATAACGTTTAAATTGAACAGCATAACCAGGTTATATGGTGCTCTGTTCCCCACAGCTGAGGGCATAAGTCATCTTAAATTGCTCTGGGAGGCTGATCTGGGGACATCAATCCCAGATGGTAGGTGTGGTGATGTATGGCTTAACTCTCCCGGTTGCTTGTCCACCAACAAAATTGTGGAACAACAATTTAAAATCACCCATAGACTCCAGATTACACCAATATTAAGGAAAACATTTAACCCCACACTTTCAAAATACTGTAATAAATGCAAGATATCAGAGGGAACATACTAATATTGCATCTTTGACTGCCCTCTCACTACAAATTTCTGGATAAAGGACTATAAAGAAATTTCTGACATATTTAGTAAGGATCTGGACCTAACCCCACTGCTTTGTATCCTTGGTTTACATCCTGGTCTGAACTTACTATAAATTATTTTATGCGGACACTGCTAGATGTTCTTCTTTTTGGTGCCAGATGGTGTGTTCTACTTCAGTGGATCTCTGACAAACCTCCTACACTTTCACAGTGGTTACAGAGAATGAGGGAACTAATTTCAATGGAAGCAATGACCCACTGGTTTAAGGACAAACCTCTTTTATTTTACAAAATGTGGGATCCATTCTTAGATAACATCGGTATAGAGAGTGCACGGACTATACAGAAGGGACTCTATGGACTCATTTGGTCTAAGATTCCTAGAGGGAACCATACTTGCGTGTGAATTCAACCAATTATTATAGTGACACTGTAATGCCTGGATATCTAGTTATGTATCATTTTAATTGATTAATTAATCTGGGCTTTAATGTTGTTATATGTTTTTGTGTTTTTTTTCAGTGTTTTTTCTGTACTATCCGTACTCTTATTATTCTTTTTTGAACATATTGTTACAGATTTTCCTGATTTAGTTTTATTTATTGACTTACTTATTTTTATTTATTTTATTTTTCCTGTCTTTCACTGTGTGGGTTTTTTTTTTTTGTCTGTATAAGTTGGAAAACGTAATAAAGATATGTTTAAAAATAAATAAATAAAAAAAGTAGGAAGAAAGGATGCTTCAAAGCACATCAGTTCAATGCTAAACTCCCATTTAATGCCTGCAGAGAAAATCTCTCTTTGATAACAGGGGTTTGGAAACGCCTGTAAGACAAAACTGAGGAAATACTCACAGAGGGTCTCAGTGCGCATGCGCACATTGCCGCTGAAGCTAGAGCAGTGAGCTGTACCTGCTAGCTCTGTGCGCGATACTTCACTAAAAATAACACAATTTAGCGTTTAAATATGTCCACGAGTGATTTTTATTTGAGATATTATGTGGGACATAAGGGAAAGTTTGGACATGAGTTCTTGGAGTTTGAATTCAGACCCGACGGTGAGTGTTTGGCGGTAAAACTTTGGCTCTAGCTTCCTCTGGTGATGCTAGCGATGTTAGCAGCTAGCTCCTTGAAGGCCGCAGCGGATCCTAAACGAACCAAGCGAGCAAGATGTATAAACCATAGATCAAAATGTGAGAGTATATCACGTCAGGAGGCATTCAGAGTCTCCCTGTTATCTATAGGCGTATTTTAAAAAGACCTCAGTAATAATCTAAGGGTTGATGATTGGATCAAACGAGCCATGCGGCGTTTAATGTCCGTGTCTGAACCTCATGTGAAAATCATTCATTGTGTTTATTTGATGCAAATTCTTTCTTATAGGTAAACTCAGATACGCAAACAACAGCAACTACAAGAATGACGTCATGATCAGGAAAGAGGTAAAGTATGGTAATTTTTAGTTCCATTAATTTTGACTCCAGACATGTTTATCTGGAATAAATGACCGCCTGTGTTTAAATTTTATATTTATCTTTGTAGTAGGATCGTTGCTATGTCTTTTTTATTTTGAAAAGATAATTTTCCACATTAGGTGGAGATTTATTTTCTGATGTTTTTTTTTTTTACTCCTACCATCCAGGCATATGTACACAAAAGTGTGATGGAGGAGCTGAAACGCATCATAGATGACAGTGAAATCACCAAGGAGGATGATGCCCTGTGGCCGCCTCCTGACCGGGTTGGCAGACAGGTTTGTCATCTTCAATTCAGTTTATTTCTGTAGCGCCAATTCACAACACATCATCTCAAGGCACTTTACAGTTCAACCAGATCATCCAGTCAAACGGATTCAAAGTTTTCTATCTAAGGAAAACCAGTTGATTGCATCGACTAATTGACTCAAATGCAACCCCCTTTAAATTAAGCACACTTGTAGTGACAGTGGAGAGGAAAAACTCCATTTTAATGGGAAGAAACCTCCAGGAGAATCATCTCAGTTTCTTCCTCTCTTTGCTTTTCAACAGAACAAAATTGTTTTCAGTCTTTTAGGTTTTTTTTAACATCAGCAGAAATTAGTTTTGGGTGAAATCAGACTATTATTTAATTTCTCCCTTTGCTTAAAGTCTCACATCCTTTTGTGTAGTTAGGTCGGTGTTTCCCTAAAACACCCACCGCGGTTTATGGTTTATACTTTATGGTTTGCCTGCTTTAAATGCACTGGAGGTTACATACAGGTAAAATTAAGAGGTTTTTTCTTAAAAGAAAAACGATGCAAACAAAAATAAAGTCTACTTTGTTGGTGCTCCTATTGACAGATAAGCCCCTGTTTATTAGGAAGTAGTTAAAGGTATAGTGGAGGATTTTTGCGAATTTTTGAAAAGACCCACCCAAATGAGTAAAAAAATAAAAATAAGAATATATATATATATATATATATATATATATATATTAAGCACCTATTAAATGCGTGCAAGAGCATGCATGAGCCCATTTCTCCTTGTGCATGCTCTGTTAAAAAGTAATTTTTTTGCATCGCTCATACTAGCTTACTTGCCAAAAGAATATTTGCAATTTTTCCATTGTGTCACTTACCACTGTTAAGGGAAGATGTGACACATAGGACGGCCTTATGTAAACATACCAACAGAATGATTGACAATAAGGAGAAAAAATTCTTTAGATGATCCACCCGGAAAAAAGATCATCGTCCACTATACCTTTAATAAATAGTTGAAATGTTTAATTAATTGTTCTACACTGTGTTTGGTTCATTTAAACATAGCAGAAATATCTTGTCTTATTCATTAACACTGAGTGGTAGATATATGACTGAAATATGAAATATGATAACTAATAAAGACCTGCTAGGAAACCATTCTGCAAACGCACACATCAAATATCGCTTGGGTCTGGCTGTGAACCAGTTTTGCTGGTATGCTTCTGCACTCTCGATCTGGGATTTCTAGGGACGCACAGCAGTTTCCTGTCAAAGCGCAAGGGGGAGCCTATTGGAGAACTTTGACGGATTGTACTTCAGAACCTCCTAAATTAACCTTTTGTCGTAGTTGTCCATTGTTCCTCTGTTTTTAAGAATGGCACCAAACGTAGGGAAGGGGGGCGTGGTCTTGCACAGAGACAGATTTGACGGTTGCAGAGGCGATGCATCAGAAGCATGAATTGGCCTTTAGAGTTTTATGACCGCTAATGTGAGTAGCAGCCATCATTAAAGCAGAAGTCGGTTTTGGTGATCAGGCTTGGGATTCTGACTGTTTTAAATCTTTCCGGTTAAAATGAGACGCAGCGTTAATCACCTGATTCAGGTGCGTTGAAATGGAGACGCATCTAATCTATGAGTTCCAAAAGTAGGGGTTGCTTATGGTTTCCACTGCCAATTTTATTTAATCCCCAAAAGTCAAAATATACCTGGAAATATATGAGAATGTATTTTATCTTGTTCAACGAGAATGTATGAGGAAATGAAATTAGATCAGATATTTATTTATCTCTCAAACACACGAATCAAATATTACAGCAAATAATTGTAAAATATGGGGTAAAAAAAATAAGATTTGAGTGAAACCATTAACTTGGATTTTAAAAAAATATTTGAAAATGAATATAATTGGAGAAAATTTTAATTATTTTTAGAGGGTCCCCACTTTGTTTATTATTTATGGGTCTCAGGTTGAACCTCTCATCTAAACGGAGTTTAACAGTAAACAAAGCTGGTACCTGGGTTATTTTTTATTTGATACTTTTAAATGATATAACTAATATCGAATAAATCTGATCAGCTACACTTCCGCAAATTTGTAATATTGGTTTTGTTTTCTTAGAAATGAACGTTTTCTATTAAGAAGCTTGAAAACCTTCATACCTTTTCATCACTTTTAAAAATCCAATTTTTTTTTTCAATAAAATCTTTACTTAGCTAATATTTCTTTTCATTGTCCCTTTTTGTATGGACCTGATCATGTCCTCAGCACCGGTAAGTCGAGTCGTATTAATCATGGTTTTGT